TGTGTGTGTGTGTGTGTGTGTGTGTGTGTGTGTGTGTGTGTGTGTGTGTGTGGTGTCTCGGCTTAGCGGCAAGCGTCTTTATCCGCCAAACCATCTTGCTGGCCCTTAAATACAAATCCAAGAGCAGAAAGGCCTATTTTAGTATTCTTTTGCCTTCGGATGTTGGCCAGTGCCCAAGTGTGTTTTTAAACTCTCCCCGACACTGGGTTCGTGGACCCTGATTTCCCCAGTATCATAGGATAGCTCTGCTGGCGCACTCTATGATTTCCGGCAACACCTACTTTCTGTATCCTCTTTTTTTCCCTAATTTTATGTGCATTAGTGTTTTGCCTGCATGCATGTTTGTCTGAAGATGTTGGCTTCCCTGGAACTGGAGTTACAGACAGTCGTGAGCTGCCGTGTGGGTGCTGGGAACTGAACCCAGGTCCTCTGCAAGAACAGCCAGTGCTCTTAACCACTGAGCCATCTCTCCAGCCCCTTATTTGTTTTTTGTTTGTTTGTTTGTTTGTTTGAGACAGGGTTTGTCTGTGTAGCCTTGGCTGTCCTGGAAACTCACTCAGTAGACCAGGCTGGCCTCAAACTCAAAGATTCACCGGCCTCTACCTCCCAAGTGCTGGGATTAAAGGTGTGCACCACCACCGCTCGTATTTCCTGTATTTTAATTCTTTAATTGGCAGAGAAAATGAACCCATCCCTGCACCTCTAGACAGTATCAAAGTCAATGCAGGAGAATCAGGAGTCAAGGGCCGTTCTTGATTACATAGCGAGTTCCAGGCCAGCCTGCAACACATGGGAATTTGTCTCAAAACGGAAACAAGAGGATAGACAGATGGCTCAGCAGTTACGAGCACTGCTCTTGCAAAAGATCTGGGCTCAGTTCCCAGCGTCGACATGGAGGCTCACAACTATCACTAACTCTAGTAACCGAGGATCTGTCGCCCTCTTCTGGCCTCTGAGGGCACACACGCGGTCTACTTCACATTTGTGGAGGCAAAAATCACATCTAATATAAAAATAAAATCGGAGCCGGGCGGTGGTGGCGCACGCCTTTAATCCCAGCACTTGCGAGGCAGAGGCAGGAGGATCTCTGTGAGTTTGAGGCCAGCCTGGTCTACAGAGTGAGTTCCAGGACAGGCTCCAAAGCTATAGAGAAACCATGTCTCGAAAAGCCTAAATAAATAAATAAATAAATAAATAAATAAATAATAGATAAATAATAATAATAATAATAATAATAAATTTAAAAAATTTTAAAAATAAAAGGGGGTAAGGAGTGGCGCACGCCTTGAAGGGGGGTAAGGGGTGGCGCACGCCTTTAGTCACAACACTCGGGAGGCAGAGGCAGGAGAATATGAGTTCAAGACCACTCTGGTCTACAGAGCGCGTTCAACGGGGCTACACAAAGAAACCCTGACTAGAAAAACCAAAACAAACAAACAATAAAAAAAAAAGAAAAGAAAAGAAAGAAAGAAAGATTGGTTCAAGGCTGCAGGCTGTACACCGGTCCTATTCACTACTGTATCCTTGGCAACCACACTAACTGGACTCTTAATAAGTGTGCATCACTTGTTAAGTTACAAGCTAGACCAGGGGTGCTCCGCAGAGCCTCCGACGACCCCGTTTGCCTCAAGAGTACGATTCCTGTCAAATTTGGAGAGGGGAAGAAGTTTGGTGCACTCTGCTCACTTGCTATAAAGCAGTCATCCTGGCACAACGTGAGGGCTTGCACGTACATTACTGTTGCACAAATAGCACCCCCACTCCCACCACCCAGTGCCTCCCTGGCTGCCCTTGGGAACCTGTGCTGGGGAAACAGCAGCCAAGGTCCATCGGCTGTTATGCTCACAACTGCCGCCAGGCGGCACTGGCTCGTGACTTCCGGCTCCAGCCCGCCACAGACTGTAGAACTACAATTCCCACAAACCTTCGCGCCTACCCTTTTTCCCCCTCTCCTCCCTCTTTCCTGACAAATCACACCTCAAGAATATCTGAAAAGAGTTTTCACTCTCCCAAATTTTTCCCTGATGCAAGCGCGTCTGCTAACACACTCCTTTTTACTGACAATCGCACCTCCCGCCCCTCGGCTTCTTGGATACTACAATACCCAGAAGTCACTGGGCCACTCCAGGCCTACGAGATGGGTTGCCTTGGAGACAGAGAAATGCCAACTGCGGAAAGCAGGATTCCGATTGGCGGAGAGGCCTGTTCGTTTGTGTCCACTGTTTGTTTGTTTTCTTTTTTTATTTCTTTCCTCTGTCCTTCACTCCCCCTCCCCGTATACAAGTTCTAAGCTTCTTTCTTTTTTTAAAAAAAGATTTATTTATTTACTTACTTACTTATTTATTTATTTACTTACTTATTTATTTACTTATTTACTTACTTACTTACTTATTTATTTATTTATTTACTTACTTATTTACTTTTTATTTATTATTTATTTATTTATTTACTTATTTATTATGTATACAGCGTGTATGTCTGCAGGCCAGAAGAGGGCACCAGATCTCATTATAGATGGTTGTGAGCCACCATGCGGTTGCTGGGAATTGAACTCAGGACCTCAGGAAGAGCAGCCAGTTCTCTTAACCTCTGAGCCACCTCTCCAGCCCTCTACGTTTCTTCATGGCATTTTTTTCATACAATTTTTTTTTTCACGGTGTTACTCTTTTCCCGGCCCCCTGCCTTCTCCTCGAACCCCTTCCCCAGCCTCGTATCCGTCCATCCTCGGAAGGCAAAAGGGCACACTTCAGACCGCCACAGGCGCCGTGGAGACGCGTCCTCTCCTCGTTCCTTGTCAGTGGAACCCTTGGGTGCTTGAGTCTGGGTCAGCTGGGCAGCGCTGCAGGGGGGAGGCAGGAGAGGCGGGTCTGGACATGCGTGCCAGGCCTGTTCCTGAGGCCCCAAGAGGGCTCCTGGGTGTTGGGTGTCAAACCCGGGACAAAGGGCCGAGGAAGTGGACCTGGCCTCCAGGTCTCCCAGCATCCGTCAGTCCCTACGCGTTATGGGGTCCTCTTGATCTCCAAGATAATAGCCTGCCTCGTTCATCGTCGGTGACATCAGAGTTCCTCCTGGATAGAGGACGTGAGTATCTGAGCCGCACCTCTCCCGGGCTTCCCACCCTGTACCCCTAGTCTCTGGGTTTCCGCTTTAGCGAAAGGATATGTAGAACTTAAGCTCTGCGCTCCCCCTCCCCGTTTCCAGTTCATCGGCCTCGGGTAAGGTACATGTGCTTGGGACCTCAGTTTTCCCATCTGTGAAATGAAACCACAGTGTCTGCCTCAGGAGTGCTGTCGGGAGAACTATAGCATCTTAAGAACGGCGTTCCTCACACCGTGGCCATTTTCAGATGTCGCGGCTGATGCTCATCAGACTTAAGCGAGGATCTAAGTAAGTCACTTCCTTTCCTCGGGGCACTCGGGGCATTCTCACGCAGGCTGAATTGTGAGGCGGCGGCCACGCTTTCTTCTGTGCACAAATTCATGGCTGTGCTCTTGCTAAGGGATGCTACAGGGTCCGGTGTCCAGCCTGTCCTTATCCTGGCGATCGCTGTGTGGCTCGAGTCCTCGTCCTTCGTGGAGCCAAGAGTTCCCTCCAGCACCACCACCACCGCTCCTTCTCTCCTGGGTGAGATGGGAGGTGGCTCCGGAGGGGCCTCGGATGGAGTTATGATTTGTTCAGGCAGAACCAGAAATCGTTAGGCTTGCCGAAGAGGTTCAGGGCAGGCCTTTCCCCTTTAAGGGGGATTTTTCCCCCCTAAAAATCTCAGGTTTATAGCTCGGGAGGGAGGATGCAGTGGTTAATTGTGCAGGAATCCCTGTGCTCAGCTAAGGAGAAGCATCAACCAGACTCCACGGTGGGACGCCCCTCTTCCTTCTCCGGCTTTCTGTCCCGAGGCAGAAGAAAATCTGTCCTCCCCTCTCGGGGGTCACGAGGTCTCCAGATGGGGCGACCAGGAAGGCTGGCATGCCGCGCCCTTCCCAAGGTTCTGCGCGTGGTCCTCCACAGTCCCTTTCCGGACGTCGGAGGCAGGCGGTGCAAGCTCGCGGTTGCGCGCGGCGTGAGGCGCCCGAGGTGTGGAAGCCTGGGAGGAGAAGCACCCCGGGACGGACGGACGCACGCTGCTGCACGGACGCCCCCTTGGAGGTGCGCGGAACCCCTGGGAGAGGGACCTGGGCTCCGTGCGGAGCGCGCACGATCCTCCGCGGGCGAGCACGCCTCCCAGCACGCGCGCGCTATGCAAATTTGCAGGGCGTGGCCCCGCTCGGTCTCCGGGGCTCTGATTGCGTGAGCAGCGCCAGGGGGCGTGGTTCCGGGGGAAAGCCCCACCCCCGGGAGGGCGGGGCCGCACTCGCCGACGTGTGGCTCAGAGGGCGGCGGGAGGGGCCGCCCCGAGGGGGACCCCGCGAGTGCGCAGGCGCAAGGGCTCAGCGGCTGGCAGGTCTGTGGCAGCTGAGAGGCTGAGGACGCAAGCGGGGAGGCAGGTGAGGGGACTGGCGACCGCGAGCGAGGCTGCTGTGGAAGGGATCGCTGGCGCGCGTGTGCGTGCGTGCGTGCGTGTGTGTGTGTGTGTGTGCATGTGTATGTGCGTGCGCGTGCGCCACCGGCGTGCGTGGGTCGAGCACTCTTGCACTCTTCTCGTGATCGGAGGTGATTCGGTGCACTCCTACCGCTCCCGGTAGGTTTGGCAGGACTTGTGGGTTAGACCTGGTGTGAGGATACTAAAGGTGATTCCACGTGTGTGCGTGTGCGTGTGCAAGGGGGAGGAGAGACGGAGACTGACAAGGCCTGTGAGCCTCGAGAAACAGGTGAGAGCGAGCAAGAGAGAGACAGAGAAAGAGACAGAGACACAGAGACAGACAGAGAGGGACGGAGAGACAAAGGCAGACACAGAGACAGACAGACAGAGAGGGACTGACTAGGCCTGTGGGCCCCAAGAAACAGGTGCGTGTGCCAACTGCGTGGTCTGTGGCGTGTGGAAAGGATGTGGGATGTGGGAGCACACAGTCCTGAGCGTCTCCGTTGCACCTGTGAACGAGTGTGACAGACTGGTGGGGTTGTTTGTCATAGTCTGGGAGACAATCTCTATTGTCGCTGGCTGTGTGTGTGTGTGTGTGTGTAGTCTAGAGATATTGTGTGCCACCAGATGTCAGTGGCTTTGTTGAGTGTGTGCCAGTGTGTGATTGATTGGGCCTTATCTCATTTGTTACTGTGGCAACGGTCTCCTCTAGAGCAGGAGCTGTGATGGCCACTCTGGGAAACTGACCCTGTTAAGGATGAGACTTTTCCTTCTGGACAACAGGATAGATAGGTGCCCATCGGAGTGCAGATGGTAAGGCTAAATGGAATAACAAAGGAAGCGCCCTGTGTAATGCCTGGGACACACTGAGTGCAGGTGGGGTCTGGCCTTTCTTGCGGTGCTGAGAGTGGGTTGTTTTTTGTTGTTGTTGTTTGTTTGTTTTTGGTGAGCTAGAGATGAATGGATCAGTAGTCTTTTGCCAAGGGACAGTTGTGAGCTGCCTTGTGGGTGCTGGGAATTGAACCCAGGTCTACCAGAAGAGCAGCCAAGGGTCCCAACCACTGAGCCATCTCTCCAGCCCGAGAGTGGGAGTTTGTGTTGTGTTGCTGACCTGGGTACAGGTAGGATCGCAGTGACCAATCCCAAAGGAATTTGTGTCTGCGTTTGGAATTTGGCTGTCTTCCGCCTCTCGCAGAGGTTCTGGTCTCTCTGATTTGAGCAGTGGAGCACACACACACCCCATCCCTCCTACCCCTAGGCAAGTGCTTGCCTTCCTGGTGTCTGCTCAAGTATGCTTCTGAGGGGAAGGTGCTGCCTACCCTGACCTGTGGAACCTGTTGTGTGTCTTCCTAATCAGGGTATCTTGAGGGAGATAAATGGAGGTGGGGGGTGGGCACAGAGGGCCTGGGGCCAGCCACCTTTATACACTAGCACTTGGGAGACAGAGGCAGGTGGACCTATGTGAACTCTAGTCTAGCTTGGTCTACACCTCAAGTTCCAGGCTGGGACTACACAATGAAACTCTGTCGAGAGAGAGAGAGAGAGAGAGAGAGAGAGAGAGAGAGAGAGAGAGAGAGAGAGAGAGAGACAGACATGGTGGATGTCACAGAACCCTTTTGGAGTGATTTGTTAACTAGCCTGGGCCATCATCGACAGACAGACCTTCCTTTCATCCCAGCATGTGTTTTTCAGCATTGGTCACTGACAGAAGAACCAACCCATTTGGGTCTATAACCTGAAAGAACAGAAGATAATATTGCTGCTATAACAAATTGCCCCAGATGTAATGGTTTCAAGGCTTTATTCACACTCAGTATTTACTCATCTTTTAAGTAATTAACCCAACCAGTAGGGCTGGAGAGATGGCTCAGCAGTTAAGAGCATTGGCTGTTCTGCCAGAGGACCCGGGTTCGATTCCCAGCACCCACATTACTATTCCTTCTTACTACTGCATAATAAATTCGGCCTTCTGAGAAGATGGCTTCCCATAAACAGTAGAGATCATCTTAAAATTCATGTTTAGCATCAACACTTACTGTTAGCTAAGCCCAGCCTTTGTTTCACTTATCCTCCTTCACCATGTGTAGAGGGAGATGTTCATACTTCCATTTTCAGCTCTTTCTGTATCTTCCATCGACACATCACAGAAAGAGCTATGTACAGATCTGCTGTTAAAGCATCGGGGTGGAGATGGCATTCTCTGAGGGTATTCAGGGGTCAACTGTCTTCAGATCTAAACTTACTTCTAAGTGATTCCACTTTTTTTTTTTTTTTAATATGTAGGAAAATGTTACTCTTTTGGTAAAGAGCGATCAGTCACTTGTTACACTATTTTCTTTTTCACTAGAGTCCATGCTTTCCCAATAGTTTGTCCCTATTTCTGCTCTCTTGGAAGGGACAAATTTTAGAGGGCTGTGGAGTGAGTGCTAGCCCAGTGACCTCTGCAATGTCATTTCAGCATAGGAAAATGAAATTCCGAGTCGGTCAGCACACACAAGCATATTCAGGATGGGTTAGTGAGTGGTTAGTCAACAGGTACGGAGGAGTCTCTGCTCTTGTTTTTGTTTGTTTGTTTGGTTTTTGAGACAGAGTCTCATGAATCCCAGGCTGGCTTCTTAACTTGGTATGTAGCCCAGGAGACCATGGATTCCTGATCCTTTGCCTCTACTTTCAAGTCTTGGGAATGTGGCACCACACCCAGTTTATGCAGTGCTGGAAATAATTTCCTGCATGCTAGGCAAGCACTCACCCTACTGAGCTGCATTCCCATCCCAGTCAAGATCCCTGCTCTTGATCCTAAATCAAGCATGCACTTGTGTGTGTATGTTTGTGGTAGTAACTAAATAAAAGTGTAAACAGCATGTCCTCTGGCTGTGGGTAGAGTTTAGTGCTAGAGCACTTGGTTAGCATGCATAAGACGCTAGTTTCAATATGCAGCACTGTAAAATAAGTAATTATATAGATAAGGAGATCATAAGTACTCTGAATAAAAAAGAACAATGCAATAATGTATATTCTATAATATATGGAGCACTGTCTGAAAACATAAGAGGCATATACATTTAAAACATTCTAGTAGCCACATTTTTAAAAAGCCATTTAAAAAAGGCCAGACGGTGGTGACACATGCCTTTAACCCCAGCACTCAGGAGAGGAGGCAGAAGCAGGCAGATCTCTTAGTTGAAGGCCACCCTGGTTTACAAAGTGAGTTCCAGGACAGCCAGGGCTCCCCAGAGAAAGCCTGTGCCACTTCTCTGGTGTGGTAGCTCTGGGGTGAGTAGGGCAGTGAACAAAACAGTCCGAATCCCTGCTCTTGACCCTAAGTGTCTCTGTACCATGTGGACTTGTTTTCCTTGCTGAACAAATGGGACATAGGAGCAGGTACCTTCCTGCTTTAACTCTCACTGCAGTGCCTGGCACCAGCAGTCACCAGTCAGATGGAGGGCAGGAGTCTGTACCTTCTTCATCTGGGTCCTGATCAGGAGCGTGCTATATGATTTCCTCCTTGCCTCTTCCCCACTCTTAAGAGTGGGACACACACACACACACACACACACACACACACACAAACACAAACACAAACACACACACACAAACACACACACACACACACACACACACACACACACACACACACGGACGGACGGATGGACGGACGGACGATCACACTTATTCCAGGTGCCTTGGCCTTTGGAGAGGTGACTGGGGACTGGAGACTGCTCCAAAGGCCATTGAGCTTCATGATCTCTCTCTTCTGCCAGCACTCTGTCTCATCCTCTGAATGTGGACCATCAAAGTCGGGGGAGGAAGGATGCCTGTAGCACGAGGGAAATCAAAATCCAAGGTAAGTGGTGACCCCCTCCCCACGTACTCCATTCTGTCTCATAAGATGTGGCCCATTTGTTTTCTTTCTGGAGGCCTCCTGCCTGTAGGAGATGGATGTGACACCTGGTGGCCCTCCCATTTCTATGGAGATGGGACCTGAGAAAGTACCAGTATCCAGAAAGCTGCTTCAGGTGCCATTTCCATGCCTCTCAGTGTTCGCATGACTATTGACGGTCCACTCAGCATCTGTAGGCGCTCTGCAGGATTCACAAATGCCCTCCCCAGAAAGAATATGAGAGCTCTGTAGTTTCTCTGGCTGGGGATGAGTACCCAGGTGGGACCCACTCAGCCAAAGGGGTTAGGTGTGTACGTGTCAGATCAGTCCAGTTTTACCACTTTGTGTTTTCCATCTAAAAACAATCCTCACGTGGAAGAAGTTTGCCTGGTTAAGGTACAAGAATGAGGAGTATAATTTGGAAACGGAAAAGCGAGGTACACAAGCCTTATGACTCACCTGCTTCACCACTGGAGATGATCAGATGAGTATCCATCAACTCAAGGGCAGTTTCTCATAATTCCCAGCCCGCCAGTGGTGGTGCATGCCTTTAATCCCACCACTCAGGAGGCAGAGGCACCGTGGATCTCTGTGAGGTCAAGGCCAGCCTGGTTGACAGAGTGAGTTCCAGGACAGCCAAGGCTACACAGAGAAATCTTGTCTTGAAAAACCAAACCAAAAAACCAAACAAATCCCGCCCCCCGCCCCAAGAAAAAACCAAAAAACCACATCCTTAGTCTGGGGATGTTGCTCAGTTGGTAGATTGCTTGCCCAAGATGCATAGACCCTGAGATTGATCTCCCTCACCCCCATAAATGGAATGTGGTAGAGCATGCCTATAACCTCAGTACTTAGGAGATAGAGACAAGAAGATGGGGAGTTCAAGGTCATCTTTGGCCACATGGTGAGTCCAGGCTAGCCTTGGATACATGAGGCCCTGCCTCAAGCTAACAAAACACGTTTCCCTCCGTTACGTGTGTTTGCTCTCTCTTGCTACCCCAATAACTTTACATCAGTATACATCCCTGTCATTTCTGACTTGGTCAGGATTCAGCCACAACATGGTTTAGCTGGGGTCTTCCGCTTGGCTTTTCCAGGACCAAAATCAAATTGTTGATTAACTGTATTTTCATTAGGGGCTTCGGTTCTCTTCCAGGTGTATTTGTCGTTAACAGAATTCAGTTCATTTTTTACATTCTGCACATCCTCCCCGTTCCTCCGTATTCATGGGAGGAGCAGGAGTCAGGCAAGCCAGAGCAGGACCTAGGTACTCTGTGTGAGTTTTCCTGGAGCCAAGGAAGCTGGCAGCACAGCGCTTGCCATTCAGTCGGGAGGACCCAAGTCAGGATCCATATTTTAAAAAGCAAGGTGCTGGCCAGCAAGGTGGCTCAGCAGGTAGAGGCACCAGTCACCAAACCTCACTACCCAAGGTTGATTCCCAGGACCCTCACTGTGGAAGGAGAGAACCAACCTGTCCTCCAAGTTGTCCTCTGACATCCACCTATGTACCACGGCACACACACCCCTACCTCCCCGAGTGCACACATAAATAATGTGAAAAAAAAAGTTAAAAAAAAATAAAGGCCAGATGCAACATCTATAATCCCACAGCTGAGGAGGCAGAGAGAGGGGACCCGCTGTCTGACCAGTGCTGGAACTGGTGAGCTCCAGGTTCAGGGAGAGGCCCTGTCTTCAAAAGCAAGGTGGAGAGCAGGCGAGGAAGATACTCATCGTCGACCTCTGTTCTCCATTACATTAGTTTATGTGCACCCTCACACATGCACACACCCAAATGAACGTGTACATACAATTCCCCGGGCACACTCGCACAGCATCTTCCTATGTTGTGATGAACCAGTGATAACCTGGTTGAAGAACTTTTTTTTTTTAAATTTTGAAGGAGTCAGACTGTCCCACTGAATCCCAGCTCCTTGATTTAGTAATTGTGTGAACTGCAATAATTTACCTTACCTCTCTAGGTAAGGTTTCCTCATTGGCAGCATTACTATGATTCCCTTGGCAATGCCTTACTACTAGGAAGGGTGAACACTGGGTGAGCCATATAGTTAGATACTTAGAAAAAAAATGTCTTGACTATAAAAGTCAGACCAAATTACTCTGTTTTTTAATGCAGCATAATCTTTAATAACAGATTTACTATGTGATATTGCATGCTATTAAATTTATTTAATATCCCTATCCCTGCTTCTTTGGTCTCAGAATTCCTGTTATGACATATCTCACCTATTTTCCATTTTCTCTACCAAGCAGAAGGGATTTTGGAAGCTCATGGTTGAATAGACTTGTCACTTTTTTCATTTCAGGCACCAGTGACTTTCGGGGACTTAGCCATCTACTTCTCACAGGAGGAATGGGAATGGCTGAGTCCCATTCAGAAGGATTTGTACGAAGATGTCATGTTGGAGAACTATCAGAATCTGGTCTTGCTTGGTAAGGTATCATGCTCCCTTCCCTCAACCAGCCGGTGAAGGCATGTGTCAGTCGGGGTGGGGGGTGGGGTGGGGGGTGGGGTGGGGGATCCTAGAGGGAGGAAAGGGAGAGGGAAAGTCATATAGTACTATTTCAATTAAAAACACATTTCTTTTTTTTTTTTTGTGTTTTTGTCTATCTGTGTCATCCTGATTATCGTGGGAGTGGGGAGGTGTCACTTAAGTTGTGTGTGTGTGTTTTTTTTTGTTTGTTTTTTGTTTTTTAATGGCTGTGTGTCTGTTCTAAATTACACAGTCGGGGCCTGGAGAGATGGCGCAGAGGTTAAGAGCACTGGCTGCTCTTCCAGAGGTCCTAAGTTCAATTCCCAGCAACCAAATGGTGGCTCACCACCATCTATAGTGAGATCTGGCGCCCTCTTCTGACATGCAGGCATACATGCAGGCAGGACACTATACATAATAAATAAATAAATCTTTTAAAATAAATAAATAAATTGCACAGTCGGTTGGTTTTTACTGTAATCACAGTATTAGAGACATCAGTTACCATGATCGATTTTAGGACATTTTCATTACTCTCCAAAGACACCCTGTAGTCAAGAGTAATTCATTTCCCATGCCTGTGTATCCCGTGAGTGGGTAATCCCCAGCCCTTGTTCTGTCTCTTTGGAGTTGCAAGTCTGAGCCTTGTGTGCAAATGGAATCATAAATACATGGCTTTTTCTCTCTTAATATAGTGTTTTGAGGTTCACCCCCACTGCAGCACGTATCAGGACTTTGTTCTGATCCATTATTGAATATTTACATTGTCTGGATAGACTACTTCATCTTATTTCTGTTTTATTAACCTGTGGGTATGTGGGTTGTTCTACTCTAATGAATGGCTGCAGTAAGCAGTCATGATCAGGTGTTTGTTTGTTTGTTTGTTTGTTGTCCAAGACAAAGTTTCTCCATGTAACAGCCCTGGCTGTCCTGGAACTCGCTCTGTAGACCAGGCTAGCCTCGAACTCACAGAGATCCACCCATCTCTGCCTCCCAAGTGCTGGGATTAAAAGTGTGTGTTACCACTGCCCAGCTTCATGGACAGGTTTTGGGGCATATGTTTTTATTTTCTTGCTTATATATTTTATAAATGGAATTGTGGGTCATTTGTAAACTGTACTCTTTTATATAATTTATGTATTTTATTTTATATGTATAAGTGTTTTGCCTGCATATATGTATGTGCACCATGTGCCCAAGGAGGCTAGAAGAAGGCATCAGCTCACCTAGAACTGGAGTCACAGGCAGTTCTGAATCACCATGTGGGTCCTGAGAACCAGACTCAGGTCCTCTGCAAGAACAACCATTGCTCTTAACCTCTGAGCCATCTCTTCAGCCCCCTGTACATAAATTTTTTTTTATTGTTCTTTTGAAAGAATTTACTGTAAGGAGTTGATGGGTGTTTAAGGTGAGCAGGAACACTGATTTAACACAGATGGTAACAAGGATGCAGCTACCATCGCTAAGGCTGTGGGGGGAAAGGAAGAGTCTGGGTGGTTTTTTAAGGACTAAGAGGACGAGCCCCATAAAGCTAGGACTCATATTTCTGAAAGGCAAGGGGAGTGTACTGTATGGTTTGTTTATATGAAACTAGTTCTATGAATAGGGGATGAAAAGAAAACTAGAAATTGAAATAGACCCCTGTCTTAGTTAGGGTTTCTGTTACTGTGAAGAGACACCATGGCTACAGCAATTCCTATAAAGGAAAACATTTAATTGGGGCTGGCTCATGATTTCAGAGGTTCAGTCCATTATCATCATGGCAGGATATGGCAGTGTGCAGGCAGACACGGTGCTGGAGAGGGAGCTGAGAGTTCTCCATCTGGATCTGCAGGCAGCAGGAAGAAAGAGCGAGCCACTTGTCTGGATTGAGCTTCTGAAACTTCAGAGCCTACCCCGCTAACAACACACTTCCTCCAACAAGGCCACACCTCCTAGTAGTGCCACTCCCTGTGGGGGCCGTTTTTATTCAAACCACCACAAACTCTGATTGGCAAAGCTGGCAGAGGGGACATTTAGATTGCAGAGCTTGAGGCCATGTAAGGTCCAGTTCCTTCACTTTTTAAATCCTTAATGGGTCCAAGTTGCTGTTGTTAGGGTTTTTTGTTTTGTTTTATTTTGTTTTGTGTTTTTTTTTTGTGTGTGTGTGTGTGTAACAGTTATTTTAATGTATAGAAATTATTGTGTATAACTATAACTATACATTACTTGCTTTTTATTTAATACATGTAAACTAGTAGCTCGCCTCAGAACCTTGAATGGAGGCACAACATAGCAGTGAGTCACAGAATGATGGCGATTTAGAGCTGAAAGATGACAGTTTCAGATCTTGTCCCAAGAGCATTTGGCCCTATGTTCAGAAAAGTAATCTATAGAGTTAGTGTCTTAGTCAGGGTTTCTATTGCTGTGAGGAGACACCATGACCACGGCAACTCTTAGAAAGAAAAGCATTTCATTGGGGCTGCCTTACCGTTCAGAGGTTTAGTCCATTGTCACCATGGCAGGAAGCGTGGCGGCATGCAGGCAGACATGGTGCTGGAGAGGGAGCTGAGAGTTCTGCATCCGGATCCACAGGCAGCAGGAAGAGAGGGTGTCACTGGCCCTGACTTGAGCATCTGAAACCTCAAAGCCCACCCCCAGTGACACACTTCCTCCTACAAGGCCACACCTAAGTGCCATTCCCTATGGGCCTAGGGGGGCTGTTTTCATTTAAGCCACCAGTTAGATTACACAGCACTACTCTATATAACTTAGCTGTCATCTTCTCTATCTAAAAATTTTAAACCAACTCTCAATCTAACCATTCAGCACAGAATAAATAGTGTGACATCAGAGGGGTAGACACCAAACAGTTCTCTGAATGTCGGACGGATATTGCAGTTATCTAGCACTACTCACGTGGGTCAGTATCGGGTCACAAGACTATCCCTACCTCAAATACTACCCACAAGTCCAGACCTCGGGAGCTTCCAACTGACTGCACATTGGGGGTTCCCACAAACCGCCCTCCCTCCAGGTTTGATAGAACTCAGGTATATCCTGAAGTTTACTAGTTCAACATAAAAGACTCTCTAGAGGCTGCAGATGAAAAGATGAATCAGGAGGGATTCCGGGGGAAAGAGTGCAGAGTTGTGCCATACCCTCCCTAGGAATGCTACTCCCCATGTGCTCAGCAACCCCCATGCTCTCTGAACCCCTCCTTGGAGCACATAAAGGCTTCGTTGGGTTGGTTTGATTGTTCCTTCTCCAGTTTCTGATTAGCCCTCTTGTGACGTTAGGGGGCGGGATGGTCCAAGCTCTGATTGCTGTTGATTGGTTGATTTCTCTGGGTTCCTGAGGAGGCCCTGTGCACTTGCTATCTCCAGAGCATATGAAGGACCATAGCAGTCTCCAGGTCTACTCTACCCTCATCCCTACCCTGCCCCTGTTCTCCAGCCCCGCACATTCTGGGTATTTCCGGTGTGATGACAAAGCCACGTTTTATTGACATGGGGCACGGCTCTGTTTCCAGTGCTGCCCACACAATGACTCGTTCCCTCATTTGTCCCATGTGCAGGTCTTGCCTGCCGGAGGCCAAATATCATCACCTTGTTGGAGAAAGGGAAAGCACCATGGGTGGTGGAGCCATCCAGACGGCGCCGGGGCCCTGGTGAGTGAATGAGAACCAAGGCCAGAGCTGCAGAAAGATGCTGAAGCAGTACATACACATGGCTGTCTGTAAACAACAGATATGTCTTACACAATCCTAAGAGTTGGGAATTCTACGAGGAAGACCCTAGCAGATCAAGTATCTGGTGACAGTGCACTCCCTGGTTCATATATACTACCTTCTTACTGTATTGAGGTAGAGTAGGAGGGATGAGGGGACACGATAAGGACACTGACCCCAGCTTGAGGGCTTCAACCCCAAAACCTGATCAAGTTCCAAGAGCCCTTACCATATCTCCTAATAGAGAAGTGGGCATCCTGCCTGAGAGCCATGGGCTCATTGTTAGAACAAGTGCCTGCCCCTTTAAGGCAGCGGTCACTAAAGAGGCCAGCTCCTACCATGGAAATCAGCCGCAGCCTGAACCCCTTCCTCGGGCGGAGAGTTAAGGAGCCGTCTGTGCTGTGGTCTCTACAGCTCCTAAAGTGTGGTCTTACCCAGTAGCAGGCTCTTCCATGCTTTTGGTTAGATACACGATGTAAAGCATGTGATGTAAAACTTTCTGCTACTCCTTGAAATGTTATAAAAGTCGTGTATTTCCTGTGTTTGAAGGACTTCTCCAAAGCCCGCTCAGGGGACGTCTCTGAAGAGGCTCCTATGGCCTCCTCCCAGCCCTACGTTTCATGGCTTGTGTCTCGGAGACTCTCACTATGTCAGTGCTCTCCCTCCTCCTTTCTCCCCCCCCCCCCCATCTTCTTCCCCTGTCTCTCTTACTCTCTCTTTAAAAGAAACTCCTCTCCAGGTAAAGCCTCTTCTTCCCTTTAAGATCGCCAGTGATGTCTGGTTCTCGAACATCGCTTCGTGCCTCGAGGCCTGATTGTGGTCTCCAAAACCTTCCTCCTAATAAACCTGACTTCATAGTGGGCAGTCGTCAGCCTTGCTGTCAGGTTGGCTTCGAGGCCCAGGTTCCTCCCGGCAGTGCTGTAGTGGGTGGAATTAGTACCATTGCATCATAGCTGAGTGGGACCCTGCCGTCCAGAGAGGTCCTCTCCTTGACAGATCCAGAACGGAACTCAGTCTGCCTTTGCATCCTGAAGCTCAGCTTTTCACCCTCCTTCCCTCCGACACTTTCTCTTTCGTGATCAGAAGAGGTATCGGCTGATCTTCTGATGCCAACACTCATTATGATAATGCTTGGATTTGAATGATTGTTATTCCTTAAGAAATCTTCATCTCGTGCCTGGCATAATTGGTACACCCCTTTAGTCCCAGCACTCGGGAGGGAGATCCAGGCAGATCTCTGTGAGTTCGAGGCCAGTCTGGTCTACAGTGAGAGTTCCAGGAAGGGCTGTTACGCAGTTACCTACTTCTTCCATCTAGGTCTAACTTCTTACTTTCTACCACATTTCAGTAATGCCAGTGTATTAGGAATCCATCGAGGGCTTAATCTACCAATGAAAGTGGATGGGCCCTCATTGTCTATCCCCTGTTAGTGATTAGACCCACCAGCTAAGGATAAAGTGTTCAGTACACAAGCCTTTGGGGGAACATCTTCATGTCCAAACCCCAGGAAGATATGTAACACAAAGAAGCCAGAGCAATACCAACCTGCCAGGCAAGGTATGGCCACTGATGCAGTGGTGTTAGGAAGGTAGCCAGCCACGTTCTGATTGGATTTGAGCCCTGAAGTCATGGGCTTGGGGTGGGGGGTGGCATGGCAAATGAGGACAGCTACTACTGTGTTTGTTTAAGAGAGGATGTTGGCACAATGAAAACGGAAGGCCCATCTTCATTTTCTATCTTTGGACATAAGAAATATTTATTTTTGTACAGCATAATGCTGTTTTTAGTCACAGATGAAATTTAGCCACATCATGTAAGGTTTAGAAAAAGCCAAAGTTGCCAACTAAGGATACCACTTAGATGTCAATCACTAAGTTGCTGTGAAAGCGATCATCATTCTTATGTACAGTTAGTAGAGTTTTGCTTCTGTAACATTGTATTCTGTTTCCATTTTGATTCTGATTTCTTAATTAATAGCAGTGCATTTGTGTAAGTAGTTTGTTTTTGTTTTTTTCCTTTCTGTTGCTTTTAGTCATGGAAATGAGATGCCGGATTCGAGAGTTACACTCTAGATATCTCTGAGTTGCTTTTCAGAGTTGTGACGTTGCCAGCTCCCAGGAAACCTGGCACAAACTTCAGAAGCCTTTCTAGGATTGGCGCTTCTCACCTTCTGTCTTAGTTGGTTGCTGAAGGAGTGAGCACAACCCACGGGACGATACCAGGAGACAGCTCCAGACAGCTTGTGCCAATTTTGTTTTTTTCCTTTTGCTGTGGTACAGCGGTTCTCAACCTTCCTAATGCTGCGACCCTTTAATGTAGTTCATCACGTTGTGGTGACCCCAACCATAAAATTACTTTGTTGCTACTTCATAACTGTCATTTTGCTACTGTGATGAATCATAATGTAAACATCTATGACAATACAGGATATCTAACATGTAGCCCCTGTGAAAGGGTCATTTGACCCCCAAAGGGGTTGTGACCCACAGGTTGAGAACCACTGCAGTGAGCGCTCAGAGCCTTGAGTCTACCCAGCAGAGGAGATTTAGTAAATGAGCACCGTCTACAGAAACGCAGTCAGTTCAACTTTCATTTTCACTAGAGCTGATGTTGTTCTCCCCCCCCCCCCCAAGGGCTTGGAGATAGCTCAGTGGCCGAACACTTTCCTAGATCACAGAAAGCCTGGGCTCAGGGGACAGTGCCCAAGAAAATAAAAATGTTCTCAGTAAATGTATGGCAACCAGTTTATGGAGCGCTTGCCAGGTCCAGGTTCTGTGCCAAGGCCTGCACATTCATTGTCTCATTTATTCTTTCCAGTACTTGTAGCAGTCTTTGTCATTCCAATATGACAAATGAGGGTTAGAACCCAGCTTAAATACCTTGCTTAGGCTCCGTGGAAGAACCAAGTGGTGAGGACTGGAGCCCTGGCAGTTTGCATTGTGACTCCAAATAGAGACCTACAAGGCCAGGTGCATTGGTGCACACCTATAACCCCCTAAAACCTCAGCACTCAGGAGGCAGAGGCAGGTGGATCTCTGTGAGTTGGAGACTAGGCTGGTGAGTTCCAGGCCAGCCAGAGTTCATGGTGTGACTCTGTCTAAAAAAAAAAAAAAAAATTCCTATTTTAGTCAATTTTATTTTATTTATTTGTTTTCTCTGGTTATAGGAAAATTGGTGAGTTTTTTAAACTTTTTTCCCATTTTTTTTGTTTCTTTTTGTGTGTGTCTGTGTGTCTCTGTGTGTGCATGCGCCCACACATGTCTGCGTGTATGTATGTGTGTGCATATTTGCATGTATGTGGGCATATGTGTGTAAGTGCATTTGGTGACGTGAGGTTGGTGTCAGGAGTCATCCTACCCATTGACACAGAGTCTCTCAATCAAACCTAGATCTCGGCAGTATTATGGCTGGACTTGCTAGCCAGCCTGCCCCAAGGCGCCCCGTCCACAAACCTGTGGCTGGAATTACAGACAGGCCTCTGGGCCAACCTATCATTTACTTGAGTTCTGGGAATCTAAATTTTGGTCCTTAAGATTAGAAAGCAAGTGTTTTAATCACTGAGCCATGACCCTGTCCCACGATTTTGGCTTTTTTTTTTTTTCTTACCTCTTCGTGTGTGCATATGTGTGGGTCAGTTGGTGGATACGCACATGGATGCCTTGTGAATGTCAGATGATAAGCTATGGAAGTTGGTTCTTTTCCTTCCATCCTGTGGGTCCCAGAAATCAAACTAATGTCAACAGACTTAGAAGCAAGTGCCTTTATGGGGTGAGACATCCCATAGGCGTTTTCAAATGGTGGGAGGTTTTGACTTCTACTTGGTAATTTCTCTTGTTGTTGTGAAGACATTCACCTGTATTCTAAAATTTTGAATATGTGCCATATTGTTTTAGTTTAAAGTGTTTTCAATTTTTACTTATTTGTGTGTATTGTATGTTGTATGTGTGTGGGCACTTGCATGCTGTAGTGTGTGTTGTGGAATTCAGAGGACAACATACTTCTTTTGTTTTGTTTTTTGAGACAGCGTTTTTCTATGTGACCCTGGCTGTCCTGGAACTTGCTTTGTAGACCAAGCTGACCTTGAACTCACAGAGATCCACCTGCTTCTGACTCTTGAGTGCTGGGATTAAAGGTGTGCACCACCGCCGCCCTGCTCTACTGCTTTTATGTAGGTTCTAAGGCTATATGTAGCTCAGGTCAGGCTTGTGTGGCATCACTGGGATTAGCTTTAGCATGTGCTGTGCTTTAGACTCCCTTCTTGGAAACAGGGAGAGGAACTGAAGGAATGTGTTAATATTCAAAGCAAGAAAAAGAGAGGTCCTCGGTAAATGAAGGTGCAAAGAAAAAGATAAGAAAGTGTCTGTAGAGATGGCTTAGTGGTTAAGAGAGCCTACTGCTCTTCCAGTGGAGCTGGGTTTGGTTCTCTGCACCTCTGACTCCTGCTCAGGAGATCCAGTACCTCTGTGTGTCCTTACACAATGAACACACACACACAGACACAACACAACACATAAAACCAATGGCATCAGAGCCAAGGATTCTAGGATAAATCCCATTAATCTTTTTTTAAGAGTTTACTTTCTTTTTTATCTATTTTTAATTATGTCTCTGTGTATACATGCACATGAGTACAGGTGCCAAACGAGGCGGAGACATCAGATTCACTTAGAGCTGGAGTTACAGGTGGTTGGTTGTAAATGACCCAGTGTGGGTGCTGGGCACTGGACTTGGGCCCTCTGCAGCCTTATGCACTCTTAACTACTGAGCCATCTCTCCAGTCCCCAATTCTTCTCCTTTTTTTTTTTTGAAAGCTGAGAAGTTTTAATTAGCAAAATTTGTTCTTTCACAATTTTTTTATTTATTTAAAGAACTTTTTTCCTTGTCTTTATTTTGTTTTTATTTATTTGTTTTGGGTTTATTTATTTATTTATTTATTTTAGTTTCTCTGTGTAGCTTTACAGCTGGTTCTGGATCTCACTCTGTAGACCAGGCCGGCCTCTGGTATCACAGAGATGTGCCTGCCTCTGGCTCCCAAGTGCTGGGACTAAAGGCGTGCACTACCACTGCACGGCCTTTTGTTTTTCATTTATTTTATGCAGTGTCATGTCCCCCCCCCACCTCCTCTATCTCCATTCAGAAAGGGGCAGGCCTCTCATAAGAGTCAATAAAGCATGGCACATCAAGTTGAGGCAGGGCCAAGCTCCTCCCCCTGCATCAGGGTTGGGTGAGGCAATCCAGCATGGAGAATGGGTTCCCAAAAACCAGCTCAAGCACCAGGGACAGGTCTTGATCCCACTGCTAGGAGCCCCACAAGCAGACCAAGCTACACAACTGTCACACACACACAGAGGGCCTAGTCCAGTCCCATGCAGGCTCCCTAGGTGTTGGTCCAGAGTCCATGAGCTCCCAGGAGCTCAGGTCAGCTATCTCTGTGGGTGCCCCCATCATGACCCCCCTGACTTATACATTCCCTCCTCCCTTTCTTCTGCAAGACTCCTAGAGCTCAGCCCAGTATTTGGCTGTGGATCTCTGCATCTGCTTCTATCATTTATTGGATAGAGTATCTCTGATGGCAATTTCAGGATCGTCACCAATTTGATTAAAGGAGATGGCCAGTTCCGGCATCCTCTCCACTATTGCTAGGAGTCTTAGCTGCGGTTATCCTTGTGGATTTTGGGGGGTTTCCCTGGCACCAGGTTTCTTCCTAACCCCAAAATGGTCTCCTCATCAAGACTTCTCTTTCATTACTCTCCCCCTCCATCCTGCCTCCCACACCCAGCCCGTCCAACCTGCTCCCTCAAGCTGCCATCCCTCCATCTCCCCCAACCCCTCTACCCCACTTGCAATTTACCCAAGAGATCTCTTCTATTTCCCCTTCCCAGGGAAATCTATGAATCCCTCTTTGAGCCCTCGTTGTTATCTAGCTTCTCTGGAGCTGCGAGTTGTAGTCTGGTTATCCTTTGCTTTATATCTACTATCCACTTATGTGAGAGTACGTTCCATGTTTGTCTTTCTGGGTCTGGGTTACCTCACTCAGAATGTTTTTTTTTTTCTAGTTCCACCCATTTGCCTGCAAATCTCATGATGTCATTGCTTTTTACCGCTGTAGTAATACTCTATTGTGTAAATGTACCATATTTTCCTTATCCATTCTTCAGTTGAGACGCATCTAGATTGTTTCCAGGTTCTGGCTATTACGAATAATGCTGCTATAAACATAGTTAAGGAAGTGTCCTTGTGGTATGATGAGCATCGTTTGTGTATATCCCCAAGAGTGGTATAGCTGGGTCTTGAGGCAGGCTGACTCCCAATTTTCTGAGAAACTGCCATACTGATTTCCAAAGTAGTGTACAAGTTTGCACTCCCACCAACAGTGGAGGAGTGTTCCCCTTACTCCACATCCTCTCGAACATAAGCTGTCTTCTGTGTTTTTCATCTTAGCCATTCTGACAGGTGTAAGATGGTATCTCAGAGTCATTTTGATCTGCATTTCCCTGATGACTAAGTATGTTGAGCAATTCCTTAGATGTCTCTCAGATTCTTCTGTTCTCTGTTTAGATCTGTACTCCATTTTTTAATTGGATTATTTGGTACTTTGATGTCTAATTTCTTGAGTTCTACATATATTTTGTATATCAGTCCTCTGTTAGATGTGAGGTTGGTGAAGATCTTTTCCCATTTTGTAGGTTGTCATCTTATTGACCGTGTCATTTGCCCTACAAAAGCTTCTCAGTTTCAGGAGGTCCCATTTGTTAATTTTGCTCTCAGAGTCTGTGCTGCTAGGGTTATATTCAAGAAGTAATTCCCTGTGCCAGTGCATTCAAGACTACTTCCCACTTTCTCTTCTTTCAGGTTCAGGGTAACTGGATTTATGTTGGAGTTTTTGATCCACTTGGACTTAAGTTTTGTGCATGGTGACAGATATGGATCTATTTGCAGTCTTCTACATGTCAACATCCAGTTATGCCAGCACCATTTGTTGAAGATGCTTTCTTTTTTCCATTGTACAATTTTGGTTTCTTCATCAAAAATCAGGTGTTCATAGGTGTGTGGATTAATGTCAGGATCTTAGATTCGATTCCATTAATCCATCTGTCTGTTTTTATGCCGTTAACAAGCTGTATTTATTACTATAGCTTGATAGTAGAGCTTGAGGTCAGGGATGGTGATGCCTCCAGAAGTTCCTTTATTGTACAGGATTATTTTGGCTATCCTATGTTTTTTTGTTTTTCCATATGAAGTTGAGTATTGTTCTTTCAAGGTCTGTGAAGAATTGTGTTGGAATTTTGATGGGGATTGCATTGAATCTGTAGATTGCTTTTGGTAAGATTGCCATTTTTACTATGTTAATCCTGCCTA